CAGAGGGGACATGGCACACGGGGACACAGGGACGGAGAGGACATAGGGACATAGCACACAGGGACATGGGGACGGAGGGGACACAGGGACACGGGGACAGAGGGGATACAGGGACACGGGGACAGAGGGGATACAGCCTGGGGAGATGGAGGGGACATGGGAACACGGGGACATGGGCATGCGGGGACATGGGGATGGAGGGGACATGGGGATGGAGGGGACAGAGGACACGGGGACAGAGGGGACATGGGGACACGGGGACATGGGACACGGCCCGGGAAGATGGAGGGGACACAGCATGTGGGGACATGGGACATGAGGATGGAGGAGACATGGGGACACGGGGACACGGCACGTGGGGACATGGCCTGGGGACACGGGAATGTGGGGATGAAGGGGGCATGGCGACATGGGAACACCTGGGGACACGGGGATGGAGGGGACACGGGGACACGGGGATGGAGGGGACACAGGGACATGGGAACACCTGGGGACATGGGGATGGAGGGCACACAGGGACACGGGGACATGTGGATGGAGGGGACATGGGGACACAGGAACACCTGGGGACATGGGGATGGAGGGCACACAGGGACACGGGGACATGGGGATGGAGGGGACACAGGGACATGGGGACACAGGAACACCTGGGGACATGGGGATGGAGGGCACACAGGGACACGGGGACATGTGGATGGAGGGGACATGGGGACACAGGAACACCTGGGGACATGGGGATGGAGGGCACACAGGGACACGGGGACATGGGGATGGAGGGGACACAGGGACATGGGGACACAGGAACACCTGGGGACATGGGGATGGAGGGCACACAGGGACAGGGGGACATGTGGATGGAGGGGACATGGGGACACAGGAACACCTGGGTGGGGATGAAGGGGACACGGGGGTGGAGGGGACACAGGGACCCGTGGGGACACGGGGATGGAGGGCACACAGGGACATGGGGACACGGGGATGGAGGGGACACAGGGACACGTGGGGTCACGGGGATGGAGGGCACACAGGGACATGGGAATGGAGGGGACACAGGGACCCGTGGGGACCCGTGGGGACACACGGACCTCGTCCCCCTTCTTCCAGGTGACGGTGGGCGCCGGCTCCCCCGTGATGGGCACGTCCAGGCGCAGCTTGTTCCCCGCCACCACCACGATGGTGTTCTCGGCCGTCTTCCCCGAGCAGTCCAGGTGGATCTTGGGGGGCTCTGGGGACGGGGACAGCGCCGGGATGTCACCGCGAGTGTCCCCAACCCCCACCCCCCGACTTTGTCACCGTTGTCCCCTCGCCCCGGCTCACCTTGCTTGGGGACATATTCAACCTTGATCTCTGTGGGCACAGGGAGAGAAAGGGTTAATTGGGGCTGCACCCCCCGCCTCAAAGTGTCACTGGGGTCCCCAAATGGCACCCCGGGACCCCCAAATGGCACCGGTGTCCCCAAACGGGGCCCCTGGAGTCCCCAAATGTCACAGGTCTCCCCAAATGGCACCCCGGGACCCTCAAGTGTCACTGGTGTCCCCAGACCCCCCCACAGTGCCATGAGTGTCCCCAAAGGGCTCTAGGAGCCTCCTCATGTCACCGGTGTCCCCAAATGTCATCCTAGGACCCCTCCCCAGCTTCCAGTGTCCCCAAGGGGCAACCAGGGACGCCCCTCAACACAGAGGGGACCCCAAACTGCACCCAGGGACCCCCAGATGTCCCTGGTGTCCCCCAAAGGGCTCTAGGAGCCTCCTCATGTCACCGATGTCCCCGGGTGTGTCATCCTAGGCCCCCTCCCCAGCTTCCAGTGTCCCCAAGGGGCAACCAGGGACGCCCCTCAACACAGACGGGACCCCAAACTGCACCCAGGGACCCCCCAGATGTCCCTGGTGACCCCCAAAGGGCTCTAGGAGCCCCCAGATGTCACCAATGTCCCTGGGTGCCACCCTGTGACCCCCCATCAGTGTCCCCAGTGTCCCCAAGGGGTAACCAAGGACCCTCCTCAACACAGTGGGGACCCCAAACTGCACCCAGGGACCCCCCAAATGTCACTCGTGTCCCCAAATGGTGTCCCTGGTGTCCCCCAAAGGGCTCTAGGAGCCCCCAGATGTCACCGATGTCCCCGGGTGCCACCCTGGGCGCCCCCCATCAATGTCCCCAGTGTCCCCAAGGCGGACGTTGTCCCCAAGGCGGACGTTGTCCCCGCGGCGCACCCAGGAAGTTGAGCTTGGCCGAGAGGGACAGCGCGTAGCCGTCGGGGATGAAGGTGTAGTCGCCCTCGTCCTCGGGGCGCACGTCGTCGATGACCAGTTTGTGGAACCTGCGGGGACACCGGGGCGCTGCCAGTGCCACCAGGGCGCCCCGGGGCCACCAGGGTCCCCTATAGCGCCCCGGGCTGCCAGGGTCCCCCTATAGTGCCCTAAG